AAACAAAATGCTGAGAATGTCAGGAAAACAGTATTCTGGACTGACAAAAAAAGACGGCAAATATCAGTTTTCGGCTCAAAGACCAGGTCGCATATTGGCCCCAAAAGGTTGTTCCAAAAAATGCCAAAACTCAAAAGTTAAAATGTGTGCAGAATTTAGTGAAGATGACAGGCTTGTTATTTTTAATAAATTTTGGAATAACCTTGACTGGAATCAACGAAAAGTGTATGTCAACTCGCTGGTGTCTAAATCTGAAACAAGTAGAAAAAGAACAGCAGCAGCCGAAAGTAGGAAAAGCCATAGCTTTGTTTATAGATTGTGGAAAGGCCAGGAAAAAGTTGTGGTATGTAAAAGTATGTTTTTAACAACTTTGGCTGTAGGAGAACAAACTGTTTATGGTTGGGTCAATATGTCGAGCACAGGTATTCCAATCAATCCACCTCCATCTAAGAAAGGAGACACGAGGAGAAAAAGAGACGCAGAGTTAAGGACGAGTGTTGTTGACTTTTTGAAAACACTTCCGAAACTAGAGTCTCATTACTGCAGGTCCTCAAGCTCTAAGCAATACTTGGAACCTCTTTTTACTACACTGACGGAGTTGCATCATGAATACAAACGATATTGTGATGAAAATAGCTTGAAAGCAGCGTGTCTTAAGTTGTTTAAATCCGAGTTTGATGACCAAATCTGAGTCTTTTTTCTCCAAAAAAAGACCAGTGTGATCTGTGCTGTGGGTTTGAAACTGGCAATATTAAAGAGGAAGTGTTTCAGAAACACTTGTCAAGGAAACAAGCTGCAAGAGACGAAAAGAACAGAGACAAGGAAAAGTCGATATCTGACAATACCTACAGAGTTGTAACTATGGATCTTCAGTGCGTTCTTCTTTCACCAAGACTTCAGGCCAGCGCTCTTTATTATAAGACCAAGCTTGCATGCCATAATTTCACACTCTATGACTTAGCAACGAAAGATGTTACTTGCTACTTTTGGCACGAAGGTGAGGGTGATCTGACTGGAAATTCGTTTGCTTCTTGTATTGTCCACTTTATTGAAGACATGCTAGCTCAATCTGATAAAGAGATTAAAACAGTTGTACTTTACAGCGATGGTTGCACATACCAGAACCGGAACACGGTGTTAGCAAACGCATTGTCCAAATTAGCAAAAGAAAGGGGTTTAACTATCTTACAAAAATATTTGGAGAAAGGACATACCCAAATGGAGGTAGACAGCGTACACAGCACCATTGAAAGCAAACTGAAGAGAAAGCCAATTTATGTGCCACAGAATTACGTAGATATAATCAAATCTGTCCGTCCGTCTCAACCTTACCATGTTCACTACGTCGATCACACATTTTTCAAGAACTTTTCGCACATAAACTTGTATTCAAGTATCAGGCCAGGTACTAAAGTAGGTGATCCTGTTGTGACTGACATTCGTGTTTTGGAATATTCTCCCCATTGTGGTATTAGGTATAAGCTGATGTATGATCAGGAGTTTTGTGACTTTCCTAGAAAGGCCAAACTTAATGAACAAGCTACACCTGAAATGACAGTTGCACCACTTCACGCTACACAATGTAAGGTGAAAGAATCAAAGTACAAACACCTTCAAGAACTAAAAAATGTGATTCCACGGGATTTTCATCCGTTTTATGACGTACTACGCCATACATGAACCTGTTCAGTCTTGAAAATTATTTCTATCGTTTTCATATCGGATTATGTTATACTTAAACTGTTTAGATCTAAGAATCATTGAATCATTGAAACGCTTAGCAAAAAGTAAAAGGTGTTTAAAAGTAACATTTACAGAAAATACTTAATGTGATTATTATGTGAATCTATTGCTATACAGTTAAAGCTGAATTGTGTATTTTTTGTTGTTGATAAAAACAGACAGCCAGTCTAACAAATTATCTGTGTTGATTCCCGAATGTATATCTAATCTTGTATTAGGTGATCATCATTTTATAAGGACTGTGGTTTTTGCTTACATTTTTTATCCTTTTTTGAACTTTTATGCCGAAAAGCATGAATAATGTTTATACTTTTTTTTAAATTTTAATGCTGAAAACATGAATGATGTTTATACGCTATACGTTTTACTTTTGAAATAATTATTTATTTTTTTCTAGTCATACGAGAGGTTTAATTATTTCATTGATACTGTTGTTGAATTGCTTTGGTTTTGTTCATGTTAATTAAACTCTGTTTTATTGATTTATGAACGACTTTCGTTATTTTTATGGTTTTTTGTTAGATTTTAAAGTCGTAAATCAAAGCATACATTTTATGCAAAAATGTTGTATGTCCAAAATTGGCATAAATTTTCAGAACCAAAATATTGTATGTCCACTTCTTCATCAGGCGCATATTGATTTAACAACATGACCTTGGTATCTTAAATAAAGGTCGGTAAAAATAACCTTGGAACAACTTTAAGTAAGAAACACAGTTGCATTTGGTTTATAGAATGTTTTTTCTTCCCCCTGTAAAAAACAAATTTTGGACTTACGAGGTTTTGTCAGCCAGCCGACGATATGTATAAACTAATTAATTTACACTAGCTTTGCACAGTTTCGGGACAGTTGAAGCTTACCAGCAACAATATGTGGTGTGATTACCAATGTTTACGCATGGCGGTTAGGTGTGCACGACATTATTGTCTTAACATTACAGATACTGATTGTAACTTCACGACGTCTGCTTTCATTCCTAAATGTTTTATAAGGTTATATAAATATTACCTTAATTTTATGTTACGTTATATATTTGCAAATAATAAATAAAAACACTACATTTATTATTTGTTCTGTGTACTATTTTGAGTACATGGCATCGTCAATGACGCCCCAACTGGCGCCACCTACTGCTTCTGGTATGATAATATGTCCGAACTTGATAAGAGTTTGTAATTGTGATATGTTAATTGTGTCCTACATCATATTTATATGCTGTTTTTTAATTTTGAAAAAGACGCTTACAGTGGCGCCAATTTAAATCATTATTTCAGATATATAGCAGCATGTTTCATTTCAGCTTTACAGTGCGACAAAAATTATCGAGCCCGGGCAGGAATATCGAGACACGTTCACAGTTGACACCAGTATCCATGGCGATTTGTCTTTCACCGCTACGTACAAACGAACAATTCCAATCCTGAAAGTGACGTCACCAAGTCAAAAACAGTACAACGAACTTTCATCGGCAACAGAAATTAATCACGATCTCATGATGATAAGATTGAAATTCCAACATAATGACGCGGAGGTAAACTCATTTATCTACAAGTGCTCACTTACGATCACTCATCACATAGTTGCCTTGTTATTCAGTCTGTCCTAAGTTTTCATTTTTGTGACGTCACTTTAGATAATGAAATGACGTCACACATTCACAGATGGCATTGCGATGTAACAATGGCGACTATAGATATAAAGCGAACGAACTTTGAGATTGAAGTGCAAATGTCCGCTTTCTATCATTTTCGCAAGAAAAATCGATCATGTGATAAATATGTATATAAATATAAACTTTATTTATTTGACAACAATTGCGAAACAAGTTATGTCAACTTATACTAATCACTCTTGTTGGCCCGCGAGGGGTCTTATTGTGGGAGGAAACCGGAGTACCCGGGGAAAACCCACGTGGTCGGGTAGGTGACCCCTTCCCTTTTCACGTCCGTTCCGGGAATCGAACCCCGGTCGGCTAGGTGAAAGGCGAGTGATAAATCACTCAAGAAATAGACATGATAGTACTTAACTTCCTAAAAGAAGATGGTCGCTTGTCAGCCATTCTTGTTTTTATTGTCATACACAAAATCGTCACAATAGTGGACTAAGAGCAATTGCATATGAAATTTGGGAAACATTTCAAGAAATAGCGATAACAAAAATTCATTGGCATAATAAAAAATGGCTGTATGTCGGCCATTTTTTTTCCTGATCAGTCCGAGAATAAGGCGCACTTAACTAGGGACGAAAGGAAACCTATAATGGAATTTCAAGAAAGATCTGCTCCACAATTCTCGAGAAGTAATCTTACCTCCAGGATGGCCGCCTGTCTGCAACTTTGTGATTCTTATCAATTCCAAATTGAGATATTGCACAACTAAAGAAATTGGGGAATCCGCATACAAAATTTGAGAATGTTCCTTCCAGTCCTTCAGAAATAGCGATATAACTGTAAAATTCCATGATGGCCACCTGTCGGCCATGTTGTTTTTTTCGGATCAGTCTGAAGTTGAGGCAATGGGTAACTAGGGACCAATGAGTTCCTACTTATGAAATTGAAAAAATCATCTAGTACTTCTCCAGAAAAAAATCAATAACAAATTATTACTGTACAGTCAAAAACCAAGATGACCGCCTATCAAAAAAAATGGAACAATGTTATATCTCATTTTTATTCGTGCTGGTAATTTCAATAATACTCTATGGTAAATCGAATCAAAACTGCAATTTCCGGGTTAATCTTAATAAAGGAAGTTCTAGTTTCCATTAGTATTATAATCCAGTGAAATCCAGCTTTAAGTGTTAGTAGTTATCCATTGACCAATAGTCAGCTTGTATGGATGTAGTATCAGGTTCCATTTGCACTAAAGTAAATATATTCTGACGGCCGTCCAATTGTTATGTAAGTATCATTTGGACACTTTGACTGTTCGATGATATTTTTCTTGGAAGAGTTTCCTGAAAAGTAATGCTTGTTATCGGAGACGACGTCCAAACAACTAACTAGCATAGGTCAACATGGCGCCAATATGATGCCATTTCATTGTCTATTCTCAGGTGAATAAAGAATAGCACAGAGGTAATGGGCGGCGATAATGTAAAATATCTCCATTTGACTCAGAAGTATTCCATCAGACGGGCCAGCTGTTGTGTGGTGGTGTCATTATTAGAATGTTTGTCTCCGACTGAGGAAGTTCCCAGGTGTTAAGCTCAGAATTATGATTATGACATCAAACTATTCAGAAATTACCCTGTAACAGTAACACTTAAAACGTTTATAAATTTAGGTAGGTAAATGGAAGTTCAGCTTGAGGGGTAGACGAAGTCAGTCAACTGTCACCGTGGTGGTATTTTCAAACTCTACGGCGAGGGACGGAAACGTACCTATTACCTTGAAAGCTCGTTTGGTGCTGAATAACAACTCTGTACCACCGAAAATGGCGGCGTATGCTGACGTCACAAAAGGGCATCATCCTGTCATAGGATTAAATGTCATCGCCACTGTTTACCGGCCAGGTGATGAAGATGGAGGACACACGCCACCGCACAAAATGGCATTGTTTGATAGAGGGTCAGGTAATGCTTATTGTTTCATAAACCATACAATATAGGGAAGTGTTTTGAACTTGTCAGTTAACCCTGATAAATATCTTGCAGTATCAATAATAGATACAGGTTTGATATCTGGAACAGAGAGGGGCAGTAGTGAACATAAATGTCTGGGGAATATGATAAATGCTACGTGCAAATTCCTACCGTTTGATTTAACAAACAAATGGCTTAAAACACTTCTTGCTACGAAAAGAATATTATCAACAGATCGAAGCATTCCCATAAGAAGCCCGATGCAAATTATTCAATTTGTTAGTTAAACCAATATTAACTTACAACTAACAGGTCGGTGGACCAGTGTCAAAAGCTTGTTGGTGCCAAGAAAAGGGCTGATTTAAACAGTACAGCTACATATCTTATTGATAAATCCCCATTTAGACAAGTCCATGTATATAGTTTTATAAACACATCTTGTGTATTGGTAGAGGACCAGTTGACTTTGCATCCTGTGGAGAAATAGACCAACTCCCAAAAAATAAAAATATAATAACTCAAGACTGAAATAATCTATTGTGAATTATTGATAATAATCCACGTTTAAATCTTCTTGTTGTAGAGGCTACAGTTGGTATACATTAGTAAGCGATGTGTCGGATATTTTCAATGTGCTGGAAATAATATGTCCCCTATATTTAACAGGAGATCAACAAAAAGACAAAGTCGAGTATCAACATAATTGTTTGTCGACAAGCTTAATTCTTTATAGGAGATTAACACAGGAGTTCTATATAAACCTATCGAAGAAGACTGCAAACGAGAAATATACCTTAATCTGCCTTATTTAATCTTGATAATGGTAGGATAAAAACAATCCCAGGATGCAAAGATTACGGACAAGATGTAATTCATTGAATGATGAATAACATCTACTTTTCATCGCTCCATTAATAAATCGATAAGATCCAAGTTCTATCACCAAGTTTCGGGAATCTTTAAGCCTACTTACTGATCACACAAACTTTACAAGTATTATGTCGTCATCTAACACAAAAATCATACTTCAGACCTGTTTATTTATTAAACAGTTTTTTTATAACTGAGGAAGACGGGCCAGTAAACAGTTTGATTTAGTATTATTTGGCTACCTACATTTGTGAACTTTAATCCGTTATTTCTATGCTGTTCATACTAACCGTCAAATTACACATGTAATTATTATTATGCAAATGTAGGTGACATTCAAATCGGATAACTATATGACTTTGAAAAACGTGAAGCAAATAATGCACACTAGTAAGTGGTGCCTTGTTTAACAACATTCTCATCAATGGCTGCATTGTATGTACAATATGTATGGTTGGTTGCAGGCGCTGATATACTTAAAGACGATGGAATATATTCTCGCTATTTCCCACACTTGACCGGACGTGGTCACTACCTGCTGACAGTGGACATTTTAGATAGTGACGGTTCCGTCGTCACTCAATGGACAGACGGCACGTACGAAGAAGACAGAATCAGTTCGTTTTATTTTGTATAATTCTCAGTCCTGATTGGTAGAGTTGTACCTTTAACAATATTGTCAGGTTAATTAAGGCGATCCGCTGATATAAAATCGAGTTTATCATGACACTGCTAGTAACATGAAGTATAACAAATGCATCAATTAAGGCTAATTGAAGTCATTTTATAACTGTTAAACTAGTTAAAACAACTATATACTGAACTGTGTAGATAGTTGGGTGAGGATCTTTCTTATTATCATTTAATTCTGACTTTGTATTAATCCCCTGTATTACAGATACAAACAACATCAGTAGGTCAGCTCACGGCGGCTCAGTGTACCTACACACTAACCTTGCACAGGATCCAACATGGAAGACATCTGCCTCTGACGGAGTTGACGTATATCCCCCGTCACGAATAATTGATCTCCACGTTGTCCGGAAGTCAGACGTAAATATGACGGTGACGTTGTCGTGCACTGCACCAGGGGGTGACTTGGACCATGGAAAAGGTACAATGGAGACACACTCTATTGTGTAATATACCAGTTTTCATCAGAGTTTAACAGAGTGGAATATTTAATATAACATAAGCATTAGAATATCCTTAAAGTAAATAAAACTGGTAGCAATTATCTAACGAAAAATCGAAAACATGATTATGCTATTTACTTCTATTTTGGTCCTTTTGTTGCAGCTGCTAAGTATGATATCAGATACGAACAAAGTGGTTTGGATCTCTTGAAATTGAAGGCTAATGCACCAAGCGTCCCGGACGTTGCCATTTTAACCGGAAATACAACGAATCCGCTGCCTGCTGGGAACACTGAATATTTTACCATTAACGTCACCGACCTGTTTCTAACAAAAAATAAAGGGTTTGCTTTTCTCATTCGAGGTATAGACGAGTTTGGAAACAAAGGCGATTTCTCAAATATGGTTACTGTAGGGTTCAATTCATTACCGGAAACAATTGAGGATAGTCATGTGACCAGTCCTTACACTGAGCTGGACATGTCAGAAACTGCATTGCACGAAGACGACTCTCCACATTCTAAGGCTGTGCTCCAGCCCCTACTCTTCCTGAATGCGGTCCTTTTGTCCTGCTTCATTCTGATTGGTGTAGGATTTGTGTCGGTGTTTTATCAACATCGCTTCGTCAAACCGGAAGTTCTTCTCTCCTAGGTTAGAATCTTGCATACGATTATCTGATTAACAAATAACGGAACTCAGAGGTGTCTCTAAAATAGTGAAAATTTATTGATTTCTAACACTGAAATTGAAATCAACGTTCATATTTTACTGGTAAATGAATTTTAGTGCTTTTTCCGCTTAAAACATTGCGTTGAATCACCATATCGTTATATGCAATTATTGTGTATGAACAAATTTTACTGGTAATAATTTTTAGTGCTTTTTCCGCTTAAAAAATTGCGTTGAATCACCATATCGTTATACGCAATTATCGTGTATGAACAAATTCGTTATTGCGTTGATTTACTAAAAATAGACAAATTTGATTGTACGGTTACAGTATACAACATTTGTAATATGATGATTTGGATGCTGTTCAAAGAAAATTAAATTATAAGAAGTCATAAAGAAACCGAGATAGAAGTACTTCACTCCCAATACCATCACTACATCAGCACATGGTAAAGAAAAGTGCTAATTTGATGCTGATTGTCTGCATGCCATTGGTCTGGAATTAAGCAAATGGAGCCTGTATTTAGTTTCTCGCGCGCTGGTTGTTATAATGGAGGCCAACAACCGGCCATTACAGTGGAGAACACACCTGCCCTTTATTAGCTTTCACTTAGAACCGTCTGTGTTACCTCAATAGCTTTTACTAAACAACAAGTCAATCATGTCTGGCAGTAGTCAACAATGACAGGAAAAGCATTAAGTTAACCTCTTCACATCTGCCGTCACAAATTCGAGACGAACAGAGACCATTCCATTGCAACGGTTCGGTTCCAAGAACAATTGAGACGACACCTGAAATGTATTTGTTGTAAGCGTCTGAAGGGTCAACATTGGTAAACACTACCACTGAGTTGTTGAAACATGGCGTTTCCATGGACCCTTGACGACAAAATGTTTGCATCACGACTTTTCCAACTCGCGCCACAATATGCGAGATAATTGTTATTTTTCTCATTCTGACATATTTACAATAACAGTAAAACTGTTTGTCTGTATATATTACCAATACGTACGTGTAGGCGTTCTCCCTGATAGTAAATACAGATGCTCACACATACACGTGATGCGCGCGCGTACACGGCCGGCCGGGGATAGATGCACGAAAACATTTGGCTGGTTTTGGAAGGAACCGACAAGTGTTTGTAATCTAGTTTGGATTTAAGTAACTGTGTTCGGATATTTGTATCACTTTACATCGGGAGTGTACCTCGATAGTGCAGTCTTGAGTAGTTGCAGTCGCGAGGTAACATGCATAAAGACAAGTACGAAATAACCCCGGAACACAGGTACATTGTATATCCTGTACTAACATACTAACAAATATATCTGAATAGGACAGAAACTAGTGGTTCTATTTAACGGCGTTAGGGCTTGTTAGGAGGGTGTTATGTTTATATATGACGGTGGGAGCATTGTTATGAGGAGGTGCAGTGTACGGGGTTGTGACGAGGGTGCTGTGTTTCTATATGACAGTGTATGGGGTTGTGATGAGGGTAGTGTGTTTCTATATGACAGTGTATGGGTTTGTGATGAGGGTAGTGTGTTTCTATATGACAGTGTATGGGGTTGTGATGAGGGTGCTGTGTTTCTATATGACAATGTATGGGGTTGTGATGAGGGTACCGTGTTTCTATATGACAGTGTATGGGGTTGTGATGTGGGTAGTGTGTTTCTATATGACAGTGTATGGGGTGTGATGAGGGTGCTGTGTTTCTATATGACAGTGTATGGGGTTGTGATGAGGGTGATGTGTTTCTATATGACAGTGTATGGAGTTGTGATGAGGGTAGTGTGTTTCTATATGACAGTGTATGGGGGTTGTGATGAGGGTAGTGTGTTTCTGTATGACAGTGTATGGGGTGTGATGAGGGTGATGTGTTTCTATATGACAGTGTATGGCGTTGTGATGAGGGTGATGTGTTTCTATATGACAGTGTATGAGGTTGTGATGTGGGTAGTGTGTTTCTATATGACAGTGTATGGGGTGTGATGAGGGTAGTGTGTTTCTATATGACAGTGTATGGGGTCGTGATGAGGGTGCTGTGTTTCTATATGACAGTGTATGGAGTTGTGATGAGGGTAGTGTGTTTCTATATGACAGTGTATGGGGTTGTGATGAGGGTGCTGTGTTTCTATATGACAGTGTATGGGGAGTGATGTGGGTGATGTGTTTCTATATGACAGTGTATGGAGTTGTGACGAGGGTGCTGTGTTTCTATATGACAGTGTATGGGGTTGTGATGAGGGTGATGTGTTTCTATATGACAGTGTATGGGGTGTGATGAGGGTGATGTGTTTCTATATGACAGTGTATGGGGTGTGATGAGGGTGATGTGTTTCTATATGACAATGTATGGGGTTGTGATAAGGGTGGTGTGTTTCTTTATGACAGAAAAATTACCTGATACACTTTGTTAAAACAGGGTTGGGTTCAACTTAACCGCCATAAAGTATTAGAAGCTGTTAGGCGCGCCACTTGGGTGACATTTGTAACTTGAGCATTTCCAAGAGCAAATGCTTTCAACTACACACATCATGCATTTTTACATCTGCGAAGAAGAGATGTAAGCAAAATTACGTTTTTACAACTAATGTAAGTCATGAAAAGATCGTATACTAGTGCACAAGCCTGTTCGCCAAGCATAAATATTGATGAAAGTATTTTGCATATAATGCCAACCTTTCATTCCCCGACAGAAAACCTATATTTTGTTTGGTACAACGTCGTATAAATATTCCCCGGCTTCTAATGAAAACACGTATAGCGCAAACTGTTTTCTGTCTCGTTTCAACTGCGGTTCTGCCGAACACTTAATATCACAAGACTTTGCATACTACAAGAGATGGTATCTTAGTAACGGTTTGTTTTCTCATGATCAAACAGTCGCTAAGGCTTGCTAGTCTCGTTCAGTCTTAACGCATGCGCAATACATTTAATATGGCAGAGAACGGCATCATTTTTCTCTTCAGAGAAGGTGATATAGGCCTACATTATACTTATTTCACGGTATTTAAACGAAATCCTTGAATATAACGGCTACATATACATGTATATGGTTATATTATTCAATTTGTGTAATAATGTTATAACCGCTTGTTTGGTAATGATGGTTTGTTTAGTTATAACGGTTTATTTCATATGATTGTTTGGTTAAAATGGTTTGTTTCTAAAGAAAAACAGAAGGTTACATGTGTTAAACATGCATTTACTCCGATAAGGTAAATGACACACGCGATCTCTAATTAGCCATTTCCACACATATTTCAAAAACCTGTGCCCCTAATGCTGTTCTTTCGGATTTTGCTGTAATCTCACCTTAAACGCGGTATACTTTGATAGGTGGTATATGTATATCTATATATCAACCTGATAAGGTCACTGCGTTGAAACTAATTTATCTTTATGTTTGGTTCTGGTGGTTTGTTTGGTTATGACGATTTGCTAGGTTATGTCGATTTGTTTAGTTATGACGATTTGTTTGGTTATGTCGATTTGTTTAGTTATGTCGATTTGTTTGGTTATGACGATTTGTTTAGTTAAGACGTTTAGTTGGTTATAAGGGTTCGTTTGGATATGTCGATTTGTTTAGTTATGTCGATTTGTTTAGTTATGTCGATTTGTTTGGATATGACGTTTTGTTTAGTTATGACATTTAGTTGGTTATAAAGGTTCGTTTGGATATGTCGATTTGTTTACTTATGTCGATTTGTTTAGTTATGTCGATTTGTTTGGATATGACGATTTGTTTAGTTAAGACGTTTAGTTGGTTATAAAGGTTTGTTTGGATATGTCGATTTGTTTAGTTAAGGCGTTTAGTTGGTTAGAAAGGTTTGTTTGGGTATGTCGATTTGTTTAGTTAAGACGTTTAGTTGGTTATGACGGTTTGTTTGGATATGTTGATTTGTTTAGTTAAGACGTTTAGTTGGTTATGACGGTTTGTTTGGATATGACGATTTGTTTAGTTAAGACGTTTAGTTGGTTATGACGGTTTGTTTGGATATGTCGATTTGTTTAGTTAAGACGTTTAGTTGGTTATGACGGTTTGTTTGGATATGTCGATTTGTTTAGTTAAGACGTTTAGTTGGTTATGACGGTTTGTTTGGATATGTCGATTTGTTTAGTTAAGGCGTTTAGTTGGTTATAAAGGTTTGTTTGGTTATAACGGTTTGTTGGTTATGACGATTTGTTTAGATGTGACAATCTGTTATGTCGGTTTGGTACCTACTTCTGCCTACAGCAATTCCTATGTATCAGAGAATAAAATCAGTGAAATGGTAAACACATACAACAGATTTGAACCGAAACGTTCTTAATTAGATATTTGGCAATGTTTTTCTTCGTGGAATGAGATATATTTCTTCAGAAACATTGGTTTACTAGTGCTGATGATATCTATGTTTTTTATACTAAGATAATCTACTTCCCTGGTTGTGTACACAACAATTGTCAACACAGGGGCCGTTCATCGTGCTGAATCATCCCTGGTCGTCGGAGTAAGGCCTTGGTGTAAAATCTGTGGTACGATCTGTATATCTCAGAATTCTAACTATTGGTTGGGACAGACAGTAATTATTCCATACCTTCTTTCTCACTTATTGCAATTAACAAAAATTATATATCTGATAAAAACGAGATAATATTACAATACCACATGGAAACCGATCCTATAAAGGAACACAATTTTGCATTACACCCACAAGGATAATAAAACGTATTTTATATGGAATAACAAGACCCCACATGGGAACAGTATTTTGTATCATGTGGACACAACAAGACCCCACAGGGGAACAATATTTTGTATCATGTGGACACAACAAGACCCCACAGGGGAACAATATTTTGTATCATGTGGACACAACAAGACCCCACAGGGGAACAATATTTTGTATCATGTGGACACAACAAGACCCCACAGGGGAACAATATTTTGTATCATGTGGACACAACAAGACCCCACAGGGGAACAATATTTTGTATCATGTGGACACAACAAGACCCCACAGGGGAACAATATTTTGTATCATGTGGTCACAACAAGACCCCACAGGGGAACAATATTTTGTCTCAGATGGACATAACAAGACCCCAAAGGGGCAGGGGAACAATATTTTGTATCAGATGGACATAACAAAACCTCACAGGGGAACAATATTTTGTATCAGATGGACATAACAAGACCCCACAGGGGAACAATATTTTGTATCGTGTGGACACAATAAGACCCCACAGGGGAACAATATTTTGTATCATGTGGACACAACAAGACTCCACAGGGGAACAATATTTTGTATCTTGTGGACACAACAAGACCCCACAGGGGAACAATATTTTGTATCGTGTGGACACAATAAGACCCCACAGGGGAACAATATTTTGTATCATGTGGACACAACAAGACCCTACAGGGGAACAATATTTTGTATCGTGTGGACACAACAAGACCCTACAGGGGCAGAGGAACAATATTTTGTATCGTGTGGACACATCAAGACTCCACAGGGGAACAATATTTTGTATCAAATGGACATAACAAGACTCCACAGGGGAACAATATTTTGTATCATGTGGACACAACAAGACCCCACAGGGGAACAATATTTTGTATCATGTGGACACAACAAGACCCCACAGGGGAACAATATTTTGTATCATGTGGTCACAACAAGACCCAACAGGGGAACAATATTTTGTCTCAGATGGACATAACAAGACCCCACAGGGGCAGGGGAACAATATTTTGTATCAGATGGACATAACAAGACCTCACAGGGGAACAATATTTTGTATCAGATGGACATAACAAGACCCCACAGGGGCAGGGGAACAATATTTTGTATCAGATGGACATAACAAGACCCCACAGGGGAACAATATTTTGTATCGTGTGGACACAATAAGACCCCACAGGGGAACAATATTTTGTATCATGTGGACACAACAAGACCCTACAGGGGGAACAATATTTTGTATCATGTGGACACAACAAGACTCCACAGGGGAACAATATTTTGTATCTTGTGGACACAACAAGACCCCACAGGGGAACAATATTTTGTATCGTGTGGACACAACAAGACCCCACAGGGGAACAATATTTTGTATCGTGTGGACACAATAAGACCCCACAGGGGAACAATATTTTGTATCATGTGGACACAACAAGACCCTACAGGGGAACAATATTTTGTATCGTGTGGACACAACAAGACACTACAGGGGCAGGGGAACAATATTTTGTATCGTGTGGACACAACAAGACTCCACAGGGGAACAATATTTTGT